TGGTTTAACCAAAGCGTGCTGCAGCAAACCTCCAACCAAAATGTTCAAACACCAAATAAATTCTGTACAGTCAGATTTTATGATTACCTTGAGAACTAAAGAAAAGCACGTCATTTGAACTCATCACAAATCTTGATAAAACACACACCTCAGTAAGTCATGGCAGGGATTGGAGCTGCCTGGTGTCCTGCACGGTGCAGCCTCCCATACCTGAGAGAGGGTGCAGGTGAGGGAGGAGGCCGGGCTACGGGCCTGCTCTTGGGAGGTTCTGCCTGTCCCCGGCTGCACAAGGGATTAGTGATTGGGCCCAAGGTAGGCAGGCTCAAGGGAAGGTGCTAGAAAGTGGGTTCTCCCAAAATGTGGCACAGAGAGGGGGTGAGGAGAATCACTGGTTAATGAGATCTTCTGGTCCGCCGGGTTTTATTAGTTACTGTTTACTTATGGTAGGTGAAGATGGCCTGAGACTTTGCCAAACAGGTGTGAGTGAGGATTTGTCTTCGCTGATGGGAGAATATGTAAAATTGTAAGAGGAAAAAAATCACATTATCCTTGTTAAAATCAAAACACCCGTTGGAGTTCAGGTTGTTTTTGTTACAACTGGGAGAAGTCAGTGGCGTGACTTTAATGAAAAAAGAACTAACGCAGCAGAGGAAGTACAGAAAAAACAGACACACAAAGAAAGTGGGGAAACAGTGGAGTCCCATGCTGCCCTTTCCCCACAAGGTAACGAATTTGCCTTTGAATTAGAGACATGGCTTGCAGCCTGGACCTGGCGGGCCGTCGGGGCTGGGCTCGCACGCGCGTCTCTGTCCTCTCCAGCTGGGGTGGGTCAGTGCGCAGCAGCGCTGCCCTCCTCCGTGAGGGTCCCGCAAACCACGCTGCCTGTTCTGCACTCAGAGCCCTCCTTTTGGCATCTCATAGCTGTCACGTGGCGCTGGTCACATGGCTTGGAGTGATGTCCAGGCTTGGGGAGAATGAGAGGGGCACGAAGACCCCCCGAGCCCGCTCTGTCGTAAGTCCTTGTATTTGAGGCTGCCCAACTCTCGGGCTGTGGTTTCTGTCCTCACACAGGAAGGTCCCCTCTGCTGTCAGTGGGTTTCCCCCTTCTCTCTCTCTCTGTCCTCGCCCAGACACCAGGCCCAACCACCTTGCTGCTCCCCTCCTACCCACAGCTTTTCCGTTCTCCCCCCTACTCTCAGCAGTGGGGAGGGTGGGGCAGATGAAACCTTGCTTTGCCAACACCTGAGGATCTGCCAGCCCTTCTGTCCTACTCGCCCCTGGCTCTGGCCATTGGGCAGAATCAGGGTAAGGGGAAGAATGGGGGAAAGAAGGGGAAATGGAGACCCCTCTCTCAGCAACCCAAGTGACTTTGACCCATTGGCGACACATTTCCCACCCACCCACCCTGTGCCCCCTCCGGACTGTCCCAGCCTCTTGAATCCCTCTTGTCTCAGGGCCTGTCACTCATGATACATTTCTCATCCCAAATCTTCACTCCCTAAACCTCAGCTCCACTTCCACCTGGAGACCCAGGGGCCATCTTCATTCCCTAGAAGCAGAGGAAGAGTTCATCACTGTTGGGAGGGCCAGTGGGGGGACAGATTCTCGACACCCCCATTCAGAGTCCTGGATGCATTTCCCATTGAAATCATCCTACAAATGATGATGCATTTGCCAGAGAAATCATGCTACACACCAGCCCTGACGGAAGTGTGCTGCTTCATTGTTATGGATTAAATAGGCTTCTGTTGGGTGCCCAGGTCTGTCTGTGCCACTTCACTGACTGTGTGTGTTGGGCCTGTTCCCTGAGCTCTTTCTGCCTCGAGTTCCCCATGTGCAGAAATGGGGGGATGCCCACTTTGTCACAGGACTGTTGTGAGGGGTCAGATAACGTAGATGTCTGTGAGGTCAGGTTCTTCCCTATCCCTAGACACTTGCCTCTTGAATTTCACTGCACCAGCAGCTGTGTATTACGTTGCTCCCATGGAATAATGTTTCGGAGGTGCCAACAGTCTGAGAGGCAAGCTTTCTATTTTGGTGGCCCTGGCACAGGAAGGGTCATGGCCAAGAGTGTTCAAAGAGGACTTTGTCACTTTACTGGTAAAATATTATTCTGAGAAAAAAGAAATTCAAAGCCCCAACTCAGTTGATAAGAGTAATAATTTTTATCATTCATAGAGCACTTCCTATGCTTTACCCATGTAATCTGAATTTAGTTACCTGTTATGGACTGAATTCTGTCCCCTCAAAATTTGTATATTGACATCCTAACCCCTAGTATCTCAGAGTGTGACTTAGTTTAATGAGGTAATTAAGTTAAAATGAGGTTCTTAGGGTGAGCTCTAATCCAGTATGACTGGTGTCCTTGTAAGAGGGGGAGATGAGGACACAGAGGGAAGGCCATGTGAAGACACAGCAAGAAGGCAGCCATCTGCAAGTCAAGGCGAGAGGCCTCAGAAGGAACCACCCCTGCCGACACTTTGATCTTGGACTTCTAGCCCCTAGAGCTATGAGAAAATAAATTTCTGTTGTTTAAGCCCCCTAGCCTATGGTACTTGGTTATGGCAGCCTGAGCTACCATTGTTGTCCACGTTTTATGGGTAAGAAGACTAAAACACTGAGACTAAGTAAGTAAGACCAAGAGCACACAGCTAATTCCCTCCAGGCTGTGCTCTCAATCGCTCTGCTGTATTGTGGCACCCACCTACCCCCATCCCATCTTGCCCAGAGTTGCCTCAAAGACTGTTTAGATCACGTTAGAGCAAAACAGATTGATTTTCCATGGGGTGGTTGCCATGTAGAATGTTCCAGTCTTGATAGAGAAATATAAGCCCCATGAGGGCAGGGAGTTTATCTTGCTCTCCCCAAAGTCTTGGGTGGTGCCTGGGAGGAGCTCACTGGCTGAAGTCATTGATTTAAACTATTTTGTGTTTGAAAAAAGCAAACAAAGCAGCTATTCATAAATCAGCCATAAAGTGTCTTCAACAAGGTATTATGAGATCTAAGGTCTAATGTTGTCTTTTCTGCTGATCGTGACGCCTTCATGTCCTGATGAATATTCTAAAACCTGCTCTTTCATAGGTATTTTCTCAAGTATTTCATAGTATTTTCTCAAGCTTTCGTTGCTCACACATTTGAAAAGGTCTATTAAAAAGTTATTTTTAAACATTAATTCTGGAAATCTTTGTTACCAATAAAAACTGTACTCTGCCTGGTTATTGCTGCCTCGGCGTGTCAGCTGCTTCATGAGGTCTGTAACACTGGGCAGAAGTTTACTTCCGAACTGTCTGCCTTCTGGCTTATGAAGCTACTGAATCATCACAGCGCTCCCGGATTGCATAGTTAAACTCTCCTGTGTTTGAAATCACGTGAAAGGATTAGTTCTAGGACTTAGAGGATCATGTTTTCATGTACAGTAAGTTAACTCTTAATAGAAATTTAAATTGTTAACTTGGTCTAATGTCTTGGCTTACTCTTCTATTTCCCATGCACTTGCGTAAAATGCTGTGGTATGAAAAGGAATAGCAGAAACCATCAGCTTAAGGAATTGGTTTGTTCACTTGAAAACCTGTGTGAGTGACCCCTTCATATCAGCCTGCTGTCACCTCACATGCGTCCTTCCTCCACTGGTTTGGGGTGGACTGCTCTAGAAGGCCGCTCTCCATAGCAGTGAATGATCATGAGGCAGCGTGTTATTCTTCCTGACCCCTGCCTCGGCAAGGGAGAAACAGCAAAGGTAATTCTTAGGACCAATCTGTCTTTCCTCCAGTTTAAGGAATAAAAGGAGAGAGAGGTACAAGCCACTCATAAAAGTGCTTTGGTGTCATTTTGGAAAAAAATTAAAATCTGCAAATGGCCACAGTTTTTCTGTACCATCAAAATCTCCACATAAGGAGGTTGTGCAGGGTGGGTGGGCCAGCGGCCATCTATCAGGAAAGGCTGAGGAGCATGGCAGCCCCACCAGTCCAGTGGCATGCCCCAGCTCTCTGGGCCGACATGCCTTCCTCCCCTAGGCTCACTTCTCGAGAAGGTTCCAGAATTCCGTTCATATTAACCAGGTGAAAGCACTTTATTTTAGGGCTTTTCAAACTTTTTTCCTCATGCACAGAAGGAAATTGGTTTAACTTGACAGCTCAGCACATATATATATAACTAAAGCAATAATACTTATCCTAACTATGTTTGAGTCACTCGGAGATTTTCTGTTTTATTCCCTTAAAGAAAACCCTCCAGCACATGCATACAGGCAGGTCACAACCCATTATTGATTTAATGATCCACTGGGGGGTTTTGAATCACAGTATGAAAAGTTTTGTGTTAGATTTAACATATCAGGGAATTTTTTTCTAATTCACTCATCACAACCTGTTGTGGGAAATGAGTCTGCTGTTTTGAAAGAAAAGAAGGATTGCAGGAAGAGAAGAAAGGAGAGGGTGTTGGTTTCTGCCCAGTGGGGCCACTCCGCTGCGATGCAGCCCTGGGAGGGCACTGAGTGTCCCAGGAGTGGAACCGGGGAGTGTGCTGGCTGGAGGGGAGGCGGGTGGGAGCCAGCAGGGGGGCGCCAGCCCTGCTTGCTTAGCCCTGAACCATCTTAGAGTTGGAAGGGGTCTTGGAGTTCATTTAGTCCAACTCCCGGCCCAACACAAGAATGCGGAAGACGTTTTGTTTATGCCTTCATACCTTATTTTTCTTTCTGAAAGGCACAGGAATTCTCTAACAACGTATGGTCCTTTCAGAAGGAAACTAACTTTGCACTGTTTGTTGTCTTTTGTGCTCCTGGTACTCTGGCCTTTTTTTAGGAGTAAAGGAGAGAGAGCAGTTTTAGTAATTCCCAGCTTTTAGCCACTTCACGACTGCACAACACAGCTGTCAGCATTTTCTTTTCTGATGGTGACTGTGGTTTGTCATCACGGTGGATCTGTCCCTTGGGAAGTCGCCCAGTGATCGGTGGCGTCTCGCCGCGTGCCCGGTGCGCACTGAGCCTTGCTGTGTCTCCACAGGCCTCGGCAAGACCAAGAGGAAGACGAGCGCGCGGGACGCGTCCCCGACGCCCAGCACGGACGCCGAGTACCCGGCCAACGGGAGCGGGGCCGACCGCATCTACGACCTCAACATCCCGGCCTTCGTCAAGTTCGCCTACGTGGCCGAGAGGGAGGACGAGCTGTCCCTGGTGAAGGGGTCGCGCGTCACCGTCATGGAGAAGTGCAGCGACGGCTGGTGGCGCGGCAGCTACAACGGGCAGATCGGCTGGTTTCCCTCCAACTACGTGCTGGAGGAGGTGGAGGAGGCGGCCGCCGAGTCCCCCAGCTTCCTGAGCCTGCGCAAGGGCGCCTCCATGAGCAACGGCCAGGGCGCCCGGGTGCTGCACGTGGTGCAGACGCTGTACCCCTTCAGCTCGGTCACCGAGGAGGAGCTCAACTTCGAGAAGGGAGAGACCATGGAGGTGATCGAGAAGCCCGAAAACGACCCGGAGTGGTGGAAATGCAAAAACGCCCGGGGGCAGGTCGGTCTTGTCCCCAAAAACTACGTGGTGGTCCTAAGCGACGGGCCGGCCCTGCACCCCGCGCACGCCCCGCAGATCAGCTACGCGGGGCCCGCGTGCTCCGGGCGCTTCGCCGGCCGGGAGTGGTACTACGGGAACGTGACGCGCCACCAGGCCGAGTGCGCGCTCAACGAGCGGGGCGTCGAGGGCGACTTCCTCATTAGGGACAGCGAGTCCTCGGTAAGTGCCCTTGGGTCTCTGCGGTCTGCCGGCGCTCGGGAGGTTCCAGGAGAAAACCGTAAACGTGTGTATGTGCACGTCTGTTGCACAGTATGGCTCTGGTGGGACATTCCCTGTTCAGATTGCATGAATGCGCCTGAAATAGCAGAAGAACATTCAGGGCTCATATTATGATAGATGGATATGATTCGTCTGTATGACCTATGTGAGGTTGCTGCGTGCTCTGTACTTGAATCTGCTCTGTCCACACTTGCCACTCATCCTCCTGGAGAGGTATTTCTGCAGATGGGAGGGTAAGTTAAATGGTTTTAATTCATGAAGGTGGTTTTCCCTCTTGACTGAGGTTACCCCTTTTCTGTTCTACAGACCTAATCATCATTCTCTCCTGGGCTGTTAATGACCTGCTTAGGCCCTGGTGGTTGACTCTGTTTCCTCTCTGGGTCTGAATGAAGTGGGTCAACTGTTCTCAGCGAGATGGACACCTGGTTTGTGACATGGCCCTTTGTTGGTTGATTTGTTTTTCTTTCTAAACCATGTAATCCTAAAGTCATCCCTGCTGTAGTCAGCACCAGAGTTCATCTCTGAAAAGCTTTTAAAGCACTTATGAACAGAATTGAAAAGAAAAAGATGATTCTTGAGAGAGATGACTTTGTGCTTGTGAACTGAATCGGAGGTGTGAGGCCCCTAGACTTGCAGCAGATCCGTTTCCAGCAGTAGACAAATTTGGGGTTTGTGTTTCGGGTATGTGGCTGAGCCTGTCTGGAAGAACTGGGCCAGCATCACAAAAGGTAGGCCTTTTTGTGTGTCCTTATAGAAATACTACACCAGGTTTATAGATCTCTTTGCAAATAGACCTTCCATATAGTGAGACACCCTCTCCCCTCCCCAAGCAAGAGTTTTGAACTTAGAGTCCAATGTGATTACATTGTATTGGTTCTAGCAGGGTTTGGTTTAATTTTTTAGATGTAACCTATATTTCTAGTAAGTATGTACCATATACTGTAATTGTTGTCCTCTGGAAAAAGGACTTGTTCAGGACTCCTGTTGACTGATGTGAGAGGAATTCAAGGGCCACAGAAAATGTTTTTCCTCTTCAGAGAGAGAGGCAGCTGTGATCTATTCTTTGAGACAGGAGGAGCATCATGGTGTTGGAAACCGGACCCCTTTATGGTGTCAGCAGCTCGGGGAGTGGGGGGCTGCCTTAGATGTGCTTGAGCAAGCACGCCCGGCTGGAACATTAACTACATCTGAAATCTGAACTCTGAGATTCTCTTATCCAGCCTCGAGAGTTTATCATTTCTGGCAAGACATCACATTGAATTGTTCTCACGTGACATAAGCTCTGTGTGTAACTTCCTTTAGATCATGTTTGAGGCTTAAGAGAATTAAGTACAGCAGCACTTTTAACTCTTCTGAGCAGAAACTTAGAGGAAGCCCTGGAAACCCAATTATAATATGAAGTGATGGGTCCAGAGTGCTTAAGGGGTAAGTATAATTCAGAGTCACAAGTATAATCTTGATTTAGAGATTCTGAATTTGAAAAGACTGCTTAGAAGAGAGAGAGGAGCCAAAGCAACGCTACAGAGTGGCCACATTAGCCCTGTTCATTGTGCCTCTGTCTAGGACCTGGGGAGAGGAAGCAAGTCCTTGGAAAGAGGGTAGATGAGAAGAGCATCCTCCAGGTTGTTGGCCTTATGGAGGACCTATTGCTTTTCTCTGGGACAGACACACACAGATGGTTGTCACTGTCTGATCTTGAGGACCAGATCCTTTTGGGTAGGGAGGGATACTCGCATTATCTGGGTTCCATCTCAGAATTTGAATAAGTGCCAGTGTCTTGTTTCTCTGGCATTATTAGAGAATAAGCTTTTTCAGAATAATTGAAACAGTAATTGTTTACATTTTATTGGGAGCCTTTCTAGATTTTTTACATTCTGTCTTAACATAGAAAACCGAGCTACAACACACTAATAGCCTGCTGGGGCCATTGATTCTAGGGATTTGGGGTGGGGAGGGGTTCTCTGAGACTTGTGTCAGCTCTGCACCCGCAGTGGCACCCTCTTGGTCTGAAGACTGCCGTGGGGCCTGATGGTGTGCAAGACTGCTTGTCCTGATGAATCTTGCCATGACATGTGGCGTTTTCTGCTGTTAATGTGCCTGCCTTGTGCCAAAGGGATGCTGCAAGGAAATTTAAGGCATGTTGCTGCTTTTCTCCTGACAGCAGAACTAGGCCAGGTTGGCTGCTTTTCTTGGTCGTAACAGGTCTGTTCTCAGCTGTCATCTGCAACTGTTGAGGAACTGTCTGGATGGACAAATAGACAAATCTGTTGCTTATTCCTTTTCTGCTAGCCACTGCCTCTGCCTCTTGCCAGTGTCTCCCCATCTCCTTGCCTCTCCTCCTTTGTCTTTTTTTTTCCTGTCCATTTTGGCATTTCTAAGATGAGAGCCTGGCTTTCACAACCAGGCCAACATGGGTCCTTAGGTTCGTCATCTGACCTAGTGTGTCGCAGCGTGCAGAGGATGGAAAGGTTTCTGATAGGTCAGCATTCCTGCAGGACTCAGAGCCTTCTTCATTTAATTTCCTTTTCTTTTCTTGCAGTCCTTGGGCCCAGCACTTTCCTTTGAGGTTACCACAGGACACCTAATTTCTAAATAAGAACAGCGACTTTTTTAAAGTGCGTCTTCAAGATGTGTATCATTTTTAAATATCCTGAGTGATTCCACTATAAATAAGCTAGACTCTTGCTTGATGATATTTTACATTTAAAAATTTTTACTATTTTTCTATTTTGAGAAGTAAAAATATACCCAACTCTGAGTCCAGGAAATCTGTGCTTTTTGTGGGGATATGTGCATATTTCAGAAAAACATTGCCACATCCTGTGATATCCAGTGTCAGTGAAGTGCTGGGAATTTCAGAGGTGTCTGTTAGACTTATGTTTTATCAATGAATGAATGAATAAACCAGATGATCCTGTTTTGGCTCTCTTGCCTGTTCTGAATCTCAGTACCTGCTGTTAGTTCTTTCTTACATCTTCTCTCTCTTCCTCCCTTGCTCTCCTCTCTCATCTATAATTGTCATTTATCCTTAGCAGCTAAAGATGAAACAGTATCATTCTTTATTCTTGATATTTAATTATCATACCTCCACCTGTTAATCCATAGCTCATTAAATCTAGAAAATTCAAAATTCCTACTTGCTCTCTGTTTGTTCATCATAAATTCTTATATATTTGTCACACTTACATGGTTAAGAAGTTGTACTTGTAATTAAGAATAACCAGTAACTGGATTTCTGTTAAGCTGTGTAAGTTGTCAGTATGTTCAGTATGTTGCTTTTTCCATTGCTACATCCCCACATCCTTGAAAAGTTATTCAGGAAGTGACAGGTTACGCCTAGGATGAGATCTGTAAAGCATCAGCCTTTGGTTTAGGAAGCCATTTTCCTGTGTAAGACTTTAAGGATCCCAAAGACATCGCCTGTTTCCTCATATTTACGATGCCCCACAGTAGTATTTAGATACTAATTTTTTGTCCGCCAAGACTTTTGTTTCTGACAGAAAAAACTTGATAAAGATAGTTTAATGCACATATTGGCCACACTAGTAGCCTATGTGTGTTTCTTCCCTTGCTCTTTTTTTTGCCAAGGAAGATTAGCCCTGAGCTAACATCCAATGCCAATCCTCCTCTTTCTGCTGAGAAAGACTGGCCCTGGGCTAACATCCATGCCCATCTTCCTCCACTTTACATGGGACACTGCCACAGCATGGCTTGACAAGCGGTGCGTCAATCCGCACCCGGGATCCGAACCTGCGAACCCCAGGCCGCTGAAGCAGAGCATGCAAACTTAACCGCTGTGCCACCGGGCCGGCCCCCCTTGCTCTTTCTTTAAAATCTCTTAAAATTATTTGGCCAGGAAGGAGCAGAATAAAAAAATTAGCCTAGTTCCTTGCTGTATTTTTCAAATTAGAGTTGTTATGGAAATCATAATTTTTACCCAAAAAACTCCATTTTCAGGCAGTTTCATGACTGCATCTCTCTAGATCACTGATGCTCAAGCTGTAGTGTGTATCACAGTCTCCTTGAGGGCTTGGTAAGTGGAGTCTGCTGGGTCCCACCCGAAAAGTTCCTGACGCAGGAGGTCTGGGGCCCGTGAACATGCATCGCTAGCACATTCCTCGGTGATGTTGATGCTGCTGATCTAGGGACTACCCTCTGAAAACCCTGGTTCCTTGTATGCCATCTTAATGGTTTTATACTTGTTTAGAGCAGTTCTTTAAACTCCACCCACGTCTGCTTAATACTACATTTCCAAGAATTATAAACATGCTTAAAGGTGAAAATTATAACTCTATGAAGTTTAATTTTATGTAGAACTGTTAGCTTTTGTTGAGTGAGATTCATGTCCCAAAGTGTTTTTCTGTTTGTTTTTAGCTGTTTAGAGTTTGGTAACCAACTAGCTGTGTTTGCTTCACGTTTCTGATAGACTGGGAAAAGCTCAGGTGTCAGAGCAGAGTGGAAGCTGCTTGCTAGGCACTCAGAGGGTGAATAGCAATGGTGTGAGCTCCTCTGCAAAGACAGGTTTATAGGCTTTCTAAATCCATGGTTTGGCACCATGATCTCTAGATGTTTCCTCATAAATGGGTTAATGTTAAGAAAAAGCATAGGTTACTGTGAACACTGCCTGTATACATCTTTCCAATTGTAAAAATAATGTTATTTTTAATTGTCAGGCTCTTTGCCCGGTACCTAATGAAAGTTTTAAGCGTAAATTTTTACAATATTTCTAACTCGAAACATATTTAATTCTTAAAACGGAAAGGGCCCAAAAGCTCATTTAGTATGGGCCCTTTTCTAAGAGTTCACTCCTCATCACCTGGTTCAGCCACCTGATTCTTAGAGGGGCCGAGCCTTAGAGACCCCAGCCTCGCTGGTCCCGGCTGGCTCTTCAATACTTGCCCTTAGAACAAACAGAAAAACCCACACCATTTCCTGGGAGT